TACATCTTTTTAGGATGACCGTCTAACAATTCTGAAAGACTCTCGAGGATGAAATTCATCCTTTCTTCTTATTATGGGGGAAGGGATTCCCAAAAGAATGTCAAAATTACTATTTCGACATCTCGATAACTTTATTTATTTACTCGTTTTGGTTGATTATTTAATAAAATAAAATGTTCTTATCGCATCTTGTTTTGTAGAATTTTTGATACACTTTTAAACGGTCTGATTTGTAATTTTTATTTTTTCGCCAATTCATAAATAAAATGATTTTAAAAGTGATCATATTTTATACGAGTACATCGTTGGGAATCCGATAAAGATTTTGAGATGGAATTGAAGGAGTATGTTTTAGTCTGATAGTTCTTAAATATCCGATTGTCATGTCTACTATCTTATCTGTATGCTTCCAATTTTCTTCCCCACTTTTTCTGTGGAGAGAAATCAACTATATCAACGTACGTTAATTATGGAAAAGATTGAGGAAAAAGAACCATAATATAATACGTACTCCCTGTGAGAAAAAAAAAGAAAATTAAATGCACAAGTTCTAATTTCAGCTGTTTGTTTGGTGATTAGTAGTTGTGAATATTATGAAAGTTGTCAATTTTGTGGAATTTTTTTTATAAAAAACACCTGGCCTCTCTATATATATACCCATTCAGTAATTAATACTCCATCTGTTTCACAAAAAATTTGGCGATTTACTTTTGACAAATTTATTAAAGAGTATATTTGTAGTTAATTTTCTAATTTTGTCATTAGATGTTATGTGCATTTCGCACTTCCAAACTCGTTAACAACGTCTATTAAATTTTTCTTCAATTCTAAGTAAATCCGGATTACATAAAGGGTCTGTTTGGAAATGACGGCGTTAGAGATTAACGTTAGCGTTTTGAAAAAAGCTATCTACAGTAGCGTTAGCGTTTTCAAAGCAATCTACACCATTAACTCTCAAATATGTCCAAAATAGTCGATGATAGTAAAGTCACCAACAAAAATAAGAAAGGGGAGAAATAAATGGATATAGGCCCCGTTCCGTTCAACTTATTTTTTCTTATTTTTTCTTATTCTTATTAAAATCAGATCAGATCAGACCAGATCAGATCAGATCAGATCGAATCAGATCAGATCAGATCAGATCAGATCGAATCAGATCAGATCAGATCCAATCAGATCAGATCAGATCCAATCAGATCAGATCAGATCCAATCAGATCAGATCAGATCCAATCAGATCAGATCAGATCCTATCAGATCAGATCAGATCCAATCAGATCAGATCAGATCAGGACTTATTAAAATAAGATCTCATCAGGAATTATTATTATTATTATTATTATTATTATTATTATTATTATTACTATTATTATTATTATATTATTATTATTATTATTATTATTATGATCATCATCATCATCATCATCGTCATCATCATCATCATCATTATTATTATTGTTCTTAAAAATGAAAAAGAATAAACTTTAGAAATAGGTTAAATAAAAAGCTGAGAAAGTAATCCTTAATTATTAGACATCGGAAAAATTAGTTTTAAAATACACTGACAATGTCAATCTAATTCTACTTTTAAAATATATTTTTATTGCTACTTGTAATTTGAGTTTCTAAACTTTTGATCTTTTATAAGGATGAGATATTTTAATAAAAATACTATCTCTTCTATATATTGATTATCTAAATTTAATTACTTTTAAATGTATATCTAAATTAAATATTTATTCTAATGTATAATTCTAATTTTACAAAAAAATTATCATAAAATAAAAAATATTATTACATTATAA